TCCTCTTTGGAGAAACTCCTATGGAGGTCATTTTCCCACTTATTAAGTCTATTGTTTGGGTGTATTTGGTGTTGAGTTGTATGAGATATTTATAAATTTTGGATTTTAACTCTTCATCACATGTATCATTGGCAGATATGTTCTCTCATTCAGTGGGTTGCTTATGCATTTTGTTGATGGTTTTCTTTGATGTGCAGAAATGATTGAGTTTGATTGAGCCTCAGTAGTTATTTTTTTCTTTTGTTTCCCTTGGCTAGGGAGTTATATCCAAAAAAAGTCCAAGATTTTACTACCTATACTTTATTCTAGGAATTTAAGGTTTTTCAAGCCTTACATTTGAGGCTTTAATTCATTTTCAATCTATTCTTGTATATGGTCTAAGGAAGTGGTCTTGATCCTAGATTCCTTCTTTTGTCTGCATCTGTCCAATTTCCTCAATATCACTTATTAAAGTGATCATCTTTACTCCATTCTATGATCTTACTCCTTTGTCAATTATTAATTGACGATATAGATTTGGGCTTTTTTCTGGGCTCTGTATTCTGTTCCATTGATCCAGTAGCTGTACCGGTTCATGATGGCGGATTTTGTAATCAAGGAAAACACGATAATTTCAAGAGAAATATCAAAAGTGCTTTATTCAAGTAATTCCCATCGCTTGCTACACATTTCCCCCATCTTTCAGGTAATTTGTGGGTACCGTCCCAATAGAACTTTGCTTGTCTTGAAGGAAACCATTCAGAGTCCCAATTTTCTACTTCTTCTTATGTTTTGAAGTGCTGCTCAGAAAGTGCAAGTGCATGTGCCATCGATGGGAACAAGTGGTAATCTGAAGCAGCAAGGTCTGGTGAATGTGGCAGGTGTGTTAATACTTCCCAGGCAAGATCTTTTAACGTGCGTTTAACTGGTTTTGAAGTGTGTGATGGTGCATTACCATGAAGCAAAATTACTATGTCGTGTCTTCTGGAATATTCTGGTCCTTTCACGAACATAGCATTGTTCAAATTGATTACTTGTTATGGGTAGCAATCAGTATTAACGGTTTCACCTGGTGTTAGAAGCTCACAATAAACCAGACCATCCTGATCCCAGCAAAGAAAGAGCATTGTCTTCTTTTGAAGCGATTTGGCTGTGCAGTTCATGCTGATGGTTGACTTGGATCAACACATGATTTTGTGCATTTGGAATTCTCAAAATAAATCCACTTTTCATTGCCAGTCACAATTGGATGCAGAGAAGACTTTCTTTTGTGCCGTTGAAGCAACATTTTACTAATGACTTTTTGGTTTTCCAATTCTCTTTCATTCAATTAATGTGGCACCCATTTTCCCTCCTTTAACATCTTTCCCATTGCTTGTAAATGATCGCAAACTGTTTGCTGAGCAACATTTAATCTTTCTGCAAGTGTTTTGTTCACTT